CAAAAAAAAAAAAAAAAAAAAAAAACACTAACCCCAAAACAACCGCCAAAGGTTGGTTTTATTACCCTGTAGATCATTAACCCATTTTTGCTGCTAACTTAGAAATCTTATTCTAGTGTTCTTTTTCATTAACAATTCCCAGGTCAGCTTCCCAAACCCTCCTCTGTCATTTGCTATATTAGTTAAATGAGACATCAGCCCATGCTCATCATATAGGGGGATGAGAATTATATTTTTATTACTCTGAAAATTAGGTTTTGACCCTTTTAGGGCCCTTTCCCCTTGTTCTTCTTCAAGTGTCCTAGTTAACATTCAATAACCAGTTCAAGGCTGGGCGTGGTGGCTCACGCCTGTAACCCCAGCACTTTGTGAGGCCTACGTGGGCAGATCTTTGGAGTTCTGGAGTTCTAAACCAGCCTGGCCAACATAGTGAAACCCTGTCTCTACAAAAAATACAAAAATTAGCCAGCTGTGGTGATATGCACTGAGTCCTGGCCACGCAGGAGGCTGAAGCAGGAGAATTGCTTGACCCAGGAGGTGAGGGTTGCTGAGATCGTGCCACTGCACTCTGGCCTGAGCGACAGAGCTAGACTCCACCTCAAAAAATAAAACAAACAAACAAACAAGAACCAGTTCAAGATCTCTCCTGAGATACTTTTCCTGGCCTCTCCAGGCTGATGTTTTTGTGACTTGTATTATCCTGTCTCTGTAAACAGCTCACCCAGGACACTAACTACACTGGCTTCTCATGCTTTGCTTCCTCCTTTGTTTTCCTTACCAGGCTCAAATCTATTGCTCTGACTTTGCCAAGGGTGGGCTTTCCAGGAGCGGGCTGATTTGCTAAAGGCTATCACCCCCCGAGTTCATCCTGAAAGACAGGTATGTTTGCCAACCAGGCTGCATTTTATGCAAGGTCCAAGTCTTGTATTTCTAAATCAGATTTAGATTGACTTAAACCTAGATTATATCTGCTCCTGAGGTCCTGTGCACAAGTGACCTGAAGTAACCTGGTAACAAGCAACCTCAACGGAGGGGCATCTTACAAGGCTGGGCAAGGGAAGATGTTGCAGGGCTCCTCCTCGGGGGTCGGCTTCATGCTGGCGTCACAGTAGCTCTCCGGAGCCTCTTCGTGAGTGCTTCTGTGCACACAGCGGAAAATAGGGTACTGCGATCCTGCAATGATAGGAGAATGTCTGAAGGACTGTCCCATGGGAAAGCTGGGCTATGAGTGGAGAGGCACAGAGATTTGGGTGCTGATGAAGAGAGGGCACAGAAACAGTGAGGACAATTCACACATGCACGCACACTCACACCGCCTTCATTTGAGGATTTACACACACCTACCTCACAGGGTCTTTGCTAGGAACTGTGAGGGTGCAAAGAAGAGCCTGCCCTAAAAGAAATCAACAATCTATTTGTGGACACAGTCTGCTCAAAGGCAGATACGAGCCATCTTCATAACAGTTCGAGATAACAAAAGAGAGATCCCTAGGCAGTGGAATGATATAGAATGAACACAAATAGTAACTTTTCTAAGATTTTCTGGAAGCATCAAAAAGAAAGCGTCCTAAAAGGGTCAAGCTTCATTCTTGAGAAAGAACTGGGTTTGGGTAGACGTGTGAATTTGTATTTTGGAGGGAAGGGGCCGTCTAGGTCATTAAACTGGAATGAAAGTACTTGCCTGACAAACTAGCCTTTTAGACTGGGTTGACTTGCTAAAGGCGATCAGCTCATGAGTTCATCCTGAAAGACGCTTGCTAAACAGACTGCATTTAAGGGACACGTTGAAGCACAGAAATAGAAGATTCAAGAAAGGGCGGAAGAGCAGCTACCTCCCCCTTTGGCAAACATCTTACACGTTCTTCTAATAAAGTACCCATGAGACAGTGAGTTTCTGAGGGACAGGGCTACTTTCTCATCTCTGCAGCCCCAGTACCTAGGATAGTGGCAGGTGCTCAGTAAATGACTGTGTTGAGTGAGTGTTTGAATGGTGTTGAATGGATGTTTATATCAGCTTTATGTTTTTTGTTTTACTTCCATTGGCGTAATAAGGATGCATCTACTTTTGATAAAAAGCCAGAAGTTATTAAGCGGAATGTCTAGCTCTCAATTTAAAAAAAAAAAAAAAAAAAGCTGCTTTAATTCTGCCTTCCTCTTTCTGTTGCCACCTGGTGGCAACACTGAGCTATTACTAATGGACGTTTATAACGTGAGAAACGCAACCCCTGAACGTGACCGTCTGAACCAACTACCTGAAGATGCTCCTTCGTTAAGTAACTGTCTTCCCTACGGTCCAGGCCAATATACAACTCCTGCCGGGAAGAATGCCATCCTTTATTTTACAACTCTGTCTTATCTCTGTTGCTAATTGGCCAGGCATTTATATTTTCTGAAACTCAAACTCCTCATGATTTTAACTGCAACGTGGGGGCTAACTTTTAACATTAATGTCTAAATATTTCATCAGCCATGAAAATGTTTCAGTCATTTTTCAAGCTTATCTTGTATGACACACTGAGCCAGAGGGTAGTAAGAAATCTGACAATTTGCAAGACAGTGTTGGATCTGAAACGATCATTTGTTTAAATTACCCTGGCAGTAAAAATTTACAGTGTGCCTGTAACTTGAGACCATTATTTAAAATAACGTTCCAATTAAGCACAATTATTGGCTGAGTAAAAGGCAGTACTGACTGTAAAGTTAATGGGACGCAAAAACTTTTGTGGAATAAAGTCTGTCCAGCTACAGATCTCCTTCCATTAAACAGAACAGATTTTTAATTAAATTCAACAAACATTAAGCACACTGTGCAGTTATAAAGATGAATACATGGTTCATAGCTTTCAGTGTACTTGACTGGGACTCAGCTACTAAGAGATTAAGATCTTATTTAGCCTATTCCTTTCCCTTCAGACCACGTGGGTTTAGCTTTTCTATTTACATGCTTGTGGATAGGAAAGCAAAAGAAACTCTCCCAACCACTTGGCACTTAAATAAGGGGGAAATCAAATTTTTCTTAGCAAAAGGATGTAGGCTCACATAGGAATGCTGTGTCGGGAAGATGGGTCCTGCTGGGGCTGTCCAGCATCTGGTCACTGCTTATCTTCCCTTGACATTTTATAGCCTTTATGAACACTGTCCATGGTCCAGCTCCATGGAAATGAACTCAGAGCCTCTCTGTCTCTCTGATGGGGGGAAAATGCCAGATCTACAAATCTTTTTTTTTTTTTGAGATGGAGTTTCACTCCGTCACCCAGGTTGGAGTGCAGTGGCATGATCTCTGCTCACCGCAACCTCTGCCTCCTGGGTTCAAGCGATTTTCCTGCTTGAGCCTCCCAAGTAGCTGGGATTACAGGTGCCCGCTACTGCACCTGGCTAATTTTTGCATTTTTAATAGAGACGGAGTTTTGCTATGTTCTCTAGGCTGGTCTTGAACTCCTGACCTCAGGTGATCCGCCTACCTCTGCCTCCCAAAGTGCTGGGATTACAGGCATGAGCCACCACGCCCAGCCCAGATCTATAATTCTTGAGTCTAGTGACTGCAGTGGTTTCTTACTTTGGGTATGTTTTATTATCTTTAGAAAGGGAGGGAGCACCTGGCCACCTCCCATTGTTCAAGATTGCAATTCAATTATTCCTTTACTTGCTAGCAAGCTGGAACAAGTGGTAAGGTCAGGTGCTGGCCGGGTTTCAGGCAGCAGGAAAAAATCTGGGATCAGATGGGTCGCCTTATATGCAGGTGCATTGATCAAAACAGAAATACGTTATGTTGAAGGAGGGGACTGTACCACAGGTAATTAGCAGATAATAAATGAGGTCAGTGAATTCAGGGGCTAGTGTAGAGGTCAGTGGGACATTAGGGAAGAGTGACAAAATAAAGAGCAAAAAAACCCGAAATGACTCCAGACTTAGAACTCTAGGGATCAACTGAAACAAGCCGAGAGTTTGACAGGTGAATGGCTGTGTACGTATAGACCACACTTGGACGCCAGCAATGGGGCCCTTCCCTGAGATGGCCATATCACGATGCTGGAAGAACTTAGACAAAGGGAAATACGACCATGAAAAGCACAGAACTGTGTGGTGCGGTTAGCTCCACTAGGAAGGACTGGAGAAGGCTTTGGGAGAGGATGTGTGTGAAAACACACAACGAGATCACAAGGGGAACAGACTTATTCCGTGCGTAAGTGACTTGGACAATGCCGGCAGGCTTGGGATTTCCTGGTCACTTGCCATGACTGCTGACAACCATGAGACGAGCTCCACATCTGTGCCCTGCATTGCCTTGTCTACCCTGCATGTCTGGTGCCATCACCGCCTGGGAGGGAGCAAAGGAGGGGCCTCCACGGGCTGCCACCTGTCACGCAAAAGGGAACTAGGATTGCCCGAGAAGGGAGGGATGAGGAGTAACACATCCCTGGGCTTGCTTTATTTCCAAGGCACCTCTTCAGTATCTCTTGGGCCTGAGAACTGGTGCCATTTACTGGATAAAGAAGAGATAAACATGTCATCTCAGACATTCTGAGTGGCAGATGCTGAGAGAGAGACAGAGAGAGAGAGAGAGAGAGAGAGAGAGAGTGTGTGTGTGTGTGTGTGCGTGTACATGAACACATGGGTGTATGTGGGCTAAATATCAAAAATGGGTCCTGTGCATGCTCAGTTTCTTATCTCACACTTTTGTGAATCTGTGTGTGTGTGTTTCTGCAATGCAAAGGACAGAAGATTAAACAAAATCATGTGGAAATCTAGAGAAAAAAATTTTTTTTTTTTTTTTTTTTT